CAGCCGCAGCGGCAGTGGCTGGTCTCCATTCATGCCATCCGGAACACTCGCCGCCGGATGGAGGACCGGCATGTGTGCCTTCCGGCCTTCAACCAGCTCTTTGGCCTGTCGGTGAGTGCTCCACCTCCTGGGCCCCAGGGCGGCTCAGAGGCCAGTGTCCCCAACCAGGACAGCCTAGGAGGGCTCGCACAGGGCGTGGGGGTGGGAAACCACTCTGGGTGCCGAACAGAGCTTCCCACCAGAGCCGAGGCAGGAGTGATGCCTACAGCTTCCGTCTGCAGGTCAAGGTGCTGGACATCTCTCAAAGCCCTTCCAGCTAGCGCCTGACCCCTCCAGCCAGCGCCTGACCCCTCCAGCCAGCGCCTGACCCCTCCAGCCAGCGCCTGACCCCTCCAGCCAGCGCCTGACCCCTCCAGCCAGCGCCTGACCCCTCCAGCCAGCGCCTGACCCCTCCAGCCAGCGCCTGACCCCTCCAGCCAGCGCCTGACCCCTCCAGCCAGCGCCTGACCCCTCCAGCCAGCGCCTGACCCCTCCAGCCAGCGCCTGACCCCTCCAGCCAGCGCCTGACCCCTCCAGCCAGCGCCTGACCCCTCCAGCCAGCGCCTGACCCCTCCAGCCAGCGCCTGACCCCTCCAGCCAGCGCCTGACCCCTCCAGCCAGCGCCTGACCCCTCCAGCCAGCGCCTGACCCCTCCAGCCAGCGCCTGACCCCTCCAGCCAGCGCCTGACCCCTCCAGCCAGCGCCTGACCCCTCCAGCCAGCGCCTGACCCCTCCAGCCAGCGCCTGACCCCTCCAGCCAGCGCCTGACCCCTCCAGCCAGCGCCTGACCCCTCCAGCCAGCGCCTGACCCCTCCAGCCAGCGCCTGACCCCTCCAGCCAGCGCCTGACCCCTCCAGCCAGCGCCTGACCCCTCCAGCCAGCGCCTGACCCCTCCAGACAGCGCCTGACCCCTCCAGCCAGCGCTGATGAGAGCCTTGGCTGGGTCACGGCCTCGGCCAGGCATGGGGCCAGGAGGGCGGTAACCCCGCTCTTTCCCAACCAGGACCCCGTGGATCGCGCCTACTTCGCAGTGTTTGACGGTCACGGAGGAGTGGATGCCGCGAGGTACGCCGCTGTGCACGTGCACGCCAACGCTGCTCGCCAGCCGGAGCTGCCCACACGCCCCGAGGGAGCCCTCAGAGAAGCTTTCCGGCGCACCGATGAGATGTTCCTCTGGAAAGCCAAGCGAGAGGTGAGGACAGGTGACCGGTGGCTCCGGGGAGGCCCGGCCCTGCGGAGGGGTAGAAGCTCAGTGGTGCTGGAGAGTCCTCACTAAACGCTGCTGGCGGTCACCTCATTTTGTTCTTAGAGCCAGCGGGGCTTGTTTTTAACCTGAATAGAAGCAACATGAAGCTTGCCGCGGGTGCAGCCTGGCCCTGCCGCGTGGACCTGCCCCACTGCGGAGGGTGTGCCTCCTCGTGGGGAAGACAGACCGGCAGTGTTAGGATGTGCTCGGGG